TTGTCGAGCCTCTATTTATGAGAGCGCTTCATGTGCGTGTATGCGGGCTGTTATGCATGTGTGCGTGCGTGCGTGTGTGTGTGTATGTGTGTATGTATTATTATAATGTATGAGAAGACTTGAGAAATAATGCACAAGTGCTTCCGTTTGTGCGCATAAAGTTTCCCTGAATGCCTTCGCGACAGACCGACATCAAGCGTCAATACTTTTAAAGTGTAAATAATATTATTGTCAAATGTCAGTAAAAAAACAAAGAAGTGCTTGAATATGATAGAGGGAACAACAATGAAGCACATAATATTAACAAATATCAAGATATCTTACTAAACGACGAAATTTTCTATGGTTAAAGACAGTTTTCTCCCGCTTCTTCTAATATATGCATATATAGTAAAAATAATGTAAGCCAGGTTCTAGATATTTTAAAAAACCAGAGTTGTTCGTGCAAAACTCAAGTTTTGAACAATAAATTTCTATGGTCATTATATGATGCGGACATATATACATAGTAAAAAAAAAAATATGAGTTGATAAAAAGAATTCAATAAATACATGACAAGCTGTAAAACACACTCCTAAATAGAGAATTGGCCAGTCTGCTTGACTCAGCGCGCTCTTAAGAATTTTTGCTCGTTTGGTTCTTATTTAACTTGCGGTCGCTTTGACCGGCTGGCAAAAGGATTTAACAATATTCCCAGCTCCTTGCACCTGGAATCAGCTGTCTCTTTGTTGATGCTGTTTACTTCCATCAGCGGTTCGGTGTGTCCTTGTTGTCCTGCTATTGAATGATGTTGGGCCCAAAAATAAACTGCCGTTTTCAACAATATTTACTGTCTGTTAGCTTAGGCATATGAGAGTTGCGAGTGTGTGTGTTTTTGTGTGTGAATACTCTCCTCTCTCATCTCGTCGGCCGTCTCCAACTTGCTTTTCGCTTCTTTTTATAAATTCCTCGGGGCTAGGCATTGCCCAAGTCGTTAAACAGGCCGCAATGCATGAACATAAAAGTGCGAGGAGCACCTGGCGGCGTTGTCTTCATTAGATGCGCAGAGATCAGAGGCGAGTTGTTAAAGCAGGTGGTGTTGGTTGTGGGCAAGGGGCAGGGAGGCGTGGCACGTTTTGCATTTTGGTTATTTACACAGGCGGAACAACGGCACGTATATGTAATAAAGTTGAACAAATAAAATTCACTTTCCTTCAGCACAAAAGTTCTAATTTTTGTTTTTTTTTTGTTGCCTGGCGTTGTTCTTGTTGCTGTTTTTGCTTTGTTTTGTTTGGCTTTTGTTGGGCTTCAGTTGCAACCTAAATTTCATTTGAGGCACAAAACTTGTTTAGTTGGCAAACTTTGCGCGTCGTCAATAAGGCGAGGGATATGGCTGGAGAAATTGCCGACTGCGGGGTACGATCTGCGGCAACGAGCCAGAGAGTTAGACCTATGCACGCCATGATATAATCTCGTGCTGGGGCCCGTCGTCGTATTTATTACGCGCTTCCCACACAACTTCCACCTGCTCCACCCACCCACACATACACACACATACACACACATACACAAATACACGCATGTCAAACATGTGTAGCTGCAAATTGTGCGCCAAACTGGAGCGCAATGCGGGGTAAGCAGAACGCGGCTGCCAAGCGCTTCGAGAGGGTATCAAAACGCTGACGTGAACCAGGCAAACCCAATGAAGACGCAAATTAACACTAATAGTTGTATATATATACATATAACATAGTTAGAATTTGTTTTATAAGTGGAGGGAGTACTGTGATAACACATATTACTAAAGATACGAGTTTTACTTGTATTAAATTTGGAAAAGTATGAGGTTTTTTCTTTATAAGCTGTGTAAAATAGAAGTATGAATGAAATAAAAGTTTTGCCAGAAAGACCTCAACTCCATACTGTAAGATATATAATATAAGATATAAAATATTAGGTAAGATATAAAATATAAGATATAATAATCATATATGCTATATATTATACATTTTTAAGAAGTTTGGTTGATAAGTAAAATAAAGGTTTGGGGATTAATTACTTTTTCTCATAATACTTTATATGTGTGCACTTATATACTACAAAATGTAATACTTACTAAAAAAAAAAATAGCATTAAAAAAATTTAAAAAACTCATTATTTACTTACATTCATATAAATTATTTAATACAAACAATGAACAGCTAAAATTAAATTTCGACAAATAAAAATAGGCAAATTTTTCGGTAAATATTTTTGGACAAGTGAAAAAGTGGATTAAAAATGTTGAATTTGGTTAACCATAAATGAATTTAATTTATTTAAATATACCATGGACAGACAGGAATATTAAGGAATAACTTTTGGAGATCATGCGCAAACAACTTTTTACCTAATTCAATTTTTAAAAAGCGAATTTATAGGTCATAAAATATAAAAGCTAAACATATTATGAAAAAGTGAAAAATTATATTTTTAGGGCTTTCATTTCAATGTGTTTCATGGATAGACTAAACAATTAGTTTAGTATAGAGTCAGCTAACTAAGTCAAACTGAAAGTGTGTACAAACTTCGGTCTGTTGGAGGTTTAGCACTTCGCTCTTCATTACGCATATCGATTTATATACTTAACTAGCGAATATGTCGGTGTGTGTGTGTGTGTGTGGGTGAGTCTAAATTTGAGGGTGTGTGGCAGGGTAGGTTAAATGCATAATTGGCGATTAGACGATTGGCCCTAATATGCCAAACGCTGCAACGGTTAACAACAAAAGCGCAGCAGCAGCTTTTGGGCTTTGGCTTTGGGCTTTGGGGCAACATCATTCGGATCCGACATATTGTCTCTGGCTGTGGCAGAGTCTTTGCTGCTACTGCTGCCGTTGTTGTTGTTGTTGTTGTTGTTGTTGCTGTTGTTGTTTTTGTTGTTGCTGATGCCGCGAGTTAATTGGGTCACGCCCCGCGTACCTACCTTTCAGGCTGTAAAAGTAATGACAACGCCATGTGCTTTCATTTATATGTATATATATATATATATATATGTAGATATATATACGTTTATATATATATTTCCTTTGCTTTGTTCTTCATTCAGTTGCTATCGTGCATTCAATGCCTGCCTTTGTTATGCGAACTCTGCGCCCTGTCTGTCATACATGTTAAGTACAATACATCTATATACTATATTTATATTTATGTGTATTTTTAGGTTATATTATACAATACAATAAGTATTACTTACTTAAATGCTAAGGTTATTTTCTTGTTTCAATGTATTTCTCATGCGGGCTACTTTTCCATTCATGTAACATTTAGCTTATGCCCCACACATTTACTAGATGCAAAGAAAAAAGTCTTTGGTTTACCTTAAAAATATTATTTTTTTCTGTTTCCATTCGGGTAATTTTTTTCTTTCTTTTTTTTTTTTTTTAATGTTTTTAGGCTTAACATTAATGGATATATTTTAAATTGTCCTTCGTGTGTGTGAGTGTGTCTGTCTGTCTGTGTGTGTGAGTGTGTCTGTCTGTTTTAGTGTGTGTGTGCGTGTGTGTGTGTACTTGGAGCACTGTGTCTTGGGCATTTACATATGTTTTATTTACGTATGAATTGATGAATATGTTGAATTTCATGTTATATTCTTTATACATTTCTGTTTAGTTTTGAACTAACGTCTGCAAATACGTTCGAGTTACCTAAGTTTAATGCTAAAGCGCAGTCGGACTCACAGTTTATTTTTCATTTATTTACCTTTTCAATATATTTTGCATAGATGAGTTTGATTAGCTAACATTGAGGGGGCTGGGGAAATATACATTCATAGTGCTTGGGGCAGCGACAACTCAACAATCTATTTCTATTAATATGCAAAATTAAACTGGGTCAATCTCCTGGTGCGGATTTCACTTAACCCTATTGCCTGGCATTTAAATTCGATTACTGTCAAAATGTCAATTTAAAGTGAACATTAAACGAAAATCTAGTGGAGAATTTATATATAAAAATTAATGGTTTGTCAGGGCCAATTATCTGCGAAGTATTCTGGCAGCTTTGTGAGCATATTAAAAATAAACTATATGAATAAAGTAAAATTAAAAAATATCTTCATGCTAGCCAGCTGTCAGGGCTGAATGTAAGTTGTCACGGCTGTCAAATCTGGCTGTCAAATGTGCATGTTAGCTGAGTTAACGCTGCCTTGGCTTTTCTTTTGTCGTATCTATATAGTATATGCGTGCTGATCATTTTTTTTTTTCGTTTGTATTGTTGTCTCTTGTTTTCATAGCTATAGACTGGCCACGCCCACAAATAATGCGAATTTTAACATGTTTTTCGAATTTGTCTATATATACAAAGGTCACACAATAAGTTTCGTTTTTTTTCTTTTAATTTTCCTATTACACATATTAAGTCATAACGTGGGCCTTGCTTCTGCTTATAATTTTCTGTTGCTATATATCGCTGTCTCTTGCTGAGTTTTAACTGACAGTTAAGGATTTGTTAAGCCGAATAAGAGTTTTTTTGTTTTTCATTTATAATACTTTACTGCCTACAACTTACGTTTTGCTTTCAAGGGCGTGTGTGTGTGTGTGTGTGTGTGTGGGGAGGGGGACTTGGGTATTCTTTTTGGCTTTTGAAACAACATTGAAACTCTCACACACGCACACACCAAGTCAGAGTTACAGTTACAGTTAGAGTTACAGTTAGCGTTACAGTTAGAGTTACAGTTACAGTTAGAGTTACAGTTCAGTTACAAATTTAAGTACATTTACATGGGCATAGCTGACTTTTCAGTACTCTGTCTGTGTGTGAGTGTGTTCCATTTTTCTGCCTTTAAATTTATTGCATTTAGCTTTTTAGTTTTTCCTTGCGATACTTATTATTTATAATGCGGGGATTTGCGAGAATTGAGATGTTGTTATTTACAGTTTCTTAGGGTACTCTAGTTAGTTGTAGGTGAATACATACATATATATATATGTATATATATATATATTATATGTATATAGTATATATTTAGTTGGTTTTTCTTTTAGTTTAACTTTATACTAGGAGTATACAATTATATTTTGCTTCGATATTCTTTTTAGTTCATTTACTTTCTTTATGTTTTTTTTATGCCTTGCTTTTGCTTTTGCAATTTTCCTTTTAGTTCGTTTATTATCTTCATTCGCAATATCTTTTATCAGACACTATCACAAACAGTTTGCTTGCACAAATTCACGCCACACAAAATCGCCCGATTCTCGCTAGTCGATGAGCCCATATGTATCAAATATGCGTTGGTTATAGTGAGTGTTTACTGTGTAAATTGGGTTTTAAGTTTAGTCAGTTCTGCTGGGAATTGTGTGTGTGTTTGTGTGCGGGTGTGTGTGTGTGTGTGTTTGGGTGCTCGTATGGGTTGGGGGGCGCTTAGACATCGGTGCCGCAGCCCTCTTGATACCCCTCGTCCGGCGAGTTGCGGCTGCTGCTGATGAGCGCACGCTTCAGCGCAGTGACGGGCGGCAGCACGGGCACGCCTCCCTTCTGCCAGACCCGTATCGTCTTGGCATTTACGGGCTGACCGTTGGGCAGTATTGAGCAGGAACTGGAGCTGGCCGGAGCCTGAGCGGGCGTGGGCGATGAGCTGGCCGAGGCCGTGCTGCTGCTGCCGCCGCCTCCATCGTGTAGGCGTGGCAGGGTGCGACTGCTGAAGTGTGGACTGCCGCTGTGCGTGGAACTGGAGCCATGATGCTGCTGCAGCTGGTGCTGATTGAGCTGCTGCTGCAGCTGATGCAACGGATGCATTTGCAGCTGATGATTGTGCTGATGCTCGGCGCCGGGCACCAGCGGCAGGCCATAGTCAGTGGGATAGCCGGAGGAGCCGCCCGATAGATTCGTCGTGGCTGTCGAGGTGGTCGAGGCAACAGCAGCAGCAGCTGCTGCGCCGCTCTGTTGCAAGTGGGAGCGCGGGAAGGTCTTGCTGAAGTAGTCGCTGGCCGCGTTGCGCTCGTGCAGATCGTACAGCTGGCTGGAGTCGATGATGGGCGTCTTGTCCGTGTAGCGCTTCATGAACAGATCATCCGCGGAGCTGGCTGCCGTGTGCTCCCACAGGCCGGATGGATACAGCGAATCGCAGCCGTTGGCGCGACTGTACTCGCCACTGCCGCCGGTCAGCTCCTGGCCGAGCATGACGGGCAGCTTGAGATCGCAGAACTCATCGCTGCCAAAGCGTTTGGTATCGTTGATCAGATCCGGATTGTTGCCATGGCCCGTGGAGCCGCTGGGCGAGATAAAGCACGGAGCCGTCGAGAGCACGCTGCCCGCATTGTCATAGCCCTGCGTTGAATAGGGCAGATCGGTGAGACGCGGCGGTTTCTGCACAGGATTCGTATTGCGCTGATCATGCGGCGAGCCGCTGGCACGCCTGCCACCCGCACCCCCCGCACCCCCCGCACCCGCATGCAGCACGCCCGTGTCCGTGCCCATGCCCATGCCGCTGCTGCTCTTGCGCTCCAGCGTGCCGCCGGCAATGGCCATGCCGCCATCGATGCAATTGGCCACAGCTCCATTGGCGATGACGACGCCTCCGATGCTGCCATTGCCAGTGGCCGGCTGCGTCTTGTTAGTTATCGAGTTCTGGTGATTCACCGAGGTGATGACCTCCATATGATTGGGCGTCTTGCTGTCCACATACGGCTGCCGCTTGACGCGCAGCAGCAAGCACATGATGGCCGCCAGCGCGAACACGATGAGCGCCACCAGGGCGGCACTCAGGCCAACAATCTGGCCGCTGCCCAGGGAGGCCATGCCCGCGGCACGCATGCTCACGTGCAGCGTGAAGTTGGCCTCGGCGCTGCCCGCACGATTCTCGGCCACGCAATAGAATTCACTGGAGTCCGTCTCCTGGGCATTGGTCAGCACCAGACGCGAACGCTTCTCGAAGCCGCCCTCCAGCTGCTCGAACATGTGGACACGCTGATAGGCGCTGAAGGCGCTATTGTTTGCCAGCTGGCGTCCGTTCCAGTACCAGTGGATGCTGGCCGCGGGCACGGCGCGTGCGCGGCACGTGATGGAGGCATTCTCGCCCATGGCCGTTTCCACGTAATGCGATATGGGCAGCATTTCCGGCCGGCAGGCGAAGTCGTCCACATGCAGCTCCGCGAAGCTGCGATCGATGAGGCGTTCGGGTCCGCCGGCGCACACAGGCGCCACCGGGTACGGTATGTTGCGCTGCATCAGCCAGAGCTTGGCATCCCTGAGCCGGCAGTCGCAGAGCCAGGGATTGTCGTGCAGCTCGATGCCGTGCAGCCGGCTGAGCGTCTCGATTGTCTTGGGCAGCAGCTCGCTTAGCTTGTTGCCGTTGAGGCGCAACAGGGTGAGGCCCTGCAGGCCGCCGAACGCCTGCGCGGATATCGTCTGTATGTCGCAGTGAGAGAGATCCAGCTTATGCAGCGAGGGCGTGCTCCCGAAGGCCTGTGCCTCGATCTTGTGTATGTGGTTGGAGGCGAGCGTCAGCTCGCGCAGCGATGAGATGTAGCTCAGCGCCAGGCTGGGCACGGTCACCAGCAGATTATGCGAGAGATCCAGCTCGACCAGGTTCGTCAATCCCTTGAACGTCTCGCGCTCGATCTCGCCAATCTTGCAGTTGCGCAGATAGAGCTTCTGCAGATTCAGTAAATTGGCCCGCACGAACTGCTCATTGGACAGCGTTTGCAGCTTGTTGCCGGACATGTCCAGCACCTGGGTGCTGGGATCAATGTGCTCCGGTATCTGGATGAGCAGCCGATCTATGCACTCCACCGTCTGCTTGCCCCCCTTCCACTTGCACGCGCACACCGTCTGGCAGCTGCTCTGCTGCTGTGCCGTATGGTCCACTTCGCTGGCTGGATAATATGCCGGTGGGGGCGAGGGCGCCAGATAGCCGTCATCTGTCATGGGCTGGCTATCGGCTATGGAGTATACCTCATTCTGTTGCGAGGCCTTATAGCCGTTGCTGCTCGAGCCGGAACTGGAACTGGAACTGGAGCCGGTGCTGGAGCTGCCTCCATTCGCATAGAGCTGCTGTTTGCCGGAATTGTAGCGAGATGCTAGCAGGGATCGGGGCAGCAGCAGGAGGAGCAGCAGCAGCTGCTCCCATTGCTTGGAATGCCTGATATGCATGTTCACCAAGGGTGTGTACTCTGCGTGTGTGTGGGTGTGTATATGTGTGTGTGCGGGTGTGTGTGATATGCTTTAGGCCATGCCAGGCAGGCGTTTCATATGTTTGCTTTGATATGCCCCGTTTGCGGGTGGAACGTGTCCTTTTCCTTATTTTTTTTTTATTTTTTTAATTATGATAATAGTACAAACTTCCGTGTGAATACAGCTCGAATGAATTTATTATATATTGGTCAAGCGGAAAATTGATTAATTGCCGAGTTTTTCGCGTTGCTGTTTTCCCTTTCGCTGTTGTCGTTGTCGCAGTTCTCCTTCTTGTTGTTGTTGTTGTTGTAAATATTTTCATGTTTTGGCGTAATTAGCGGCGCCTGGCGCAACGTTATTTATAGAAGCGACGCTCGCTAAGACCAGATGATAATCGTTTTTCCTTGAGCTCCACAAAAAAATAAAATAGAAGCGAACATTCTTGCCTTTACGCAACTGGCCAGCTACAATTTACTTTTTGTTTTTGCACTTGGGGTGTATTTTTTTTTTTTTTTCGGTTTTCTTTTCTTTTATTTATTTATTTTTTTTTTGTTGTATTTTTTTTTTGGTTAGCGATTTTTGCCACGCAAAGCTTTAATTTTCATCGCGTTTTCATTTTCGTTACGTTTCGGCCTCGTGGCCTGCAATCAGAACGGCGATAGAAGAACGACAGGAGCGTACCGTGGAACGTGTGGATGGACGAGCCCTGCGTTCAAATCGCACACACACACTCTCGCGTCGAGTCACGAGACACGAGTCCACGATGCCAACTGACGATTGTGTGCGTGCCTGTGTCTGTGTGTGCGTGCGTGTGGTGTTTGTGTGTGTGTGCGTGCGAGGTGCGCGTGATGAGTTTTATTCAGCTATTCATTGATTTTCATATGCAACTGTTTCACTTTGCTGCCCACTCATATTGCACATCATCAACATTGTAATGATCATTGGTAACTTCATTATTGCATTGAACTGAAATCACGATTTGGTTCAGGTTCACACTTGTAACGATTTTCAAGCTGACGAAGCTCACGGCTGACAAACGCGCGACAAACAAGAAACCCAACCGCTCGGCAGCAATCATCGACTTGTACTGAGCGCCGAGCTGATGCGCTGCACTGGCAAAAGCGAAAGCCACAGTCAAAGCCAAAGCCAAAGCGACAGCGGCAGCGACACAAAAACAAAAACAACAATAGCTTGGCTACTCGTTTCGTCGCGGCGTCGTTTGTGCTCCTCGTTCTCGGGCAGTGCTTCGTGTGTGCGGCTGCTGCTGCTGCTGCTGGCTTGGCTTGGCTTGGCTTGATTTGCGCTCGTGTCGTCGCTGTTTAGCGCTGAGAAGCGGTTCGGGTGGTTGTTCGCACTCGCTCTCTTTTGTGTTGCTTTTGCTAAAGCGCGCACTTATGTTGCTTTAACCGTTTACAACATGTCGCCAGCAACATGTTTGCAAAAGAAGCCAGTTTTTGTTTACAAAGAGCAATAAAATGTAGCAAAGAGAATTGCTTGGAAGAATCTTGAGTACTCTCAACATAATAATGGGGCTTGTTTATCTATAAGATAGAATCATATCTTTCAGATATAATATAATCATCACACGGGTAAAATATGGTCTGATTCATATTTTAGTTTGGGTTAGAAGTCAGTTTCATTACATGAAGTATTTCTTTTCATGAATTAAGGCGAACTTTGAACCCTGGTTGAATGCTCAATATTTACACAAAGTCAATAGCAGGCATGTCTGAAGAATGTTTCTTAACTTGAACTTACTCTAGTTATAAAATTAAATAATTAAATATAATTTATTTTAATATATTATTTAAATTATATTATAAAACTGAAATTGTTATCCACGTTTCTCACACACGTGAGAAAAACTCCGTGCCTTTTGTATTTTTAAGACAATAAGAGATTGTTATCCAAATATTTGTGAATCAAAGTGTGAATCTATTCATTTATTCGCTTTCTGCTTGAAAGCCAGTCACGCATGCCTGTCTTTAGGAGATGAATAAAAGCATTTCATGATGGTAAATAGAATAATAATAAATCGAAGTAAATATATTCATTAGTTGGCTTTAATTATTTAACAAAGGTCTTTATAAAATGCAATCAAGAGTGTTTTTTCACCGGTTCATTATTGTGCACAGATGTTGGCATATATAACGAACTGAATGATCTGGTGAAATAAGAATGTGGCAAGTAATTGCGAGTTTTGCTTCAGCCGAATACCAGCACCGACCCGGCCCGACCTACTCAGGCATGAAGCACAAAAAAGGCTAAATAAATAAATACAGAAAACGTTCTTTCGGTGGCCCTCTCTTTGAGTCTAAGACGTAATTCGTCATTTTAAGTGAATGACTCACATCCGTCGCGGCAGAGATTCGAGTACGGGCCCAGAGACCAAACGAATGTGGAATGAATCGATGCATTGTGTGCAACGTGTGCAGAATTTCACAATATCATGATATATGTATGGACTGCCAGGCCGGGCACTGCTCAAGATCAGCTTTCAGCTGTGCAAAGTACTAAAATGTATCTGCATATATATATAATTATATATATGTGGACAATTCTATCTGGAATACAGATCGCCTTGGCCTGAACAGAAAAAAAAGAGTTGTTAGATCTGCTGAGCAGCAAAAAAATGAAAAAGACAAAAAGTAAAGATACAGATACAAAGACACACAGACAGGGCTTTTAATGATGATGACAACAAGACGGCGACTCAGACCCACACACTATGATTGCCCCACGAGACGCAGACCAAGACCTGGACTGAGATTGAGACTGAGGCTGAGACTGCGGCTGAGACAGAGACTGAGACTGAGACTGAGACTGGGTAGCTCTATGTGAGCGCTAAACTAATTATCTGCAGGCGGCGTATAAGTTACTTCACCTGCGGGCCACTTCGGGGCAGGTAGTTGTACGTGTAGTTGTCGTTAAAGTTGTTGTTATGCCCTACTTAAAGGAATTATAGTTTTGTCATCAAGTATGTTACACATGGAAGAAGACAACTGCGATCTTATAAAGTATATATTTATGCTTAATCAGCGCTTGTCTGTCTATCTAGATAAAAGAAGTCGGTCGGATCCGATCATTATATTATATAGCTGCCATAGGAATTAGTTCTCTTATTAAAAACTCGTTTGTTTCTCAAGATATCTCCACCAAACTTGAACTCAATATATACATGGCTTAAAAAATACATGAGCTATATCTTATCAACCTTAGAGCACTATATCATATAGCTCTATAGGACGCATCGGTCGAAAAGTTATCTACAAAACCGTATCAAATTAGACATGTTTGCAAGGGTATTTAATGTGCGGCTTTCATTCTTTCAAGTTGCAAAAGCAGCAACAGCTGCGTTATGTGCGGGGCATGGTATCTCATGATGTTGCTCAGACAGGAAACGCGCTGTGTAGCTGCCAGAGTCTGTACCCCCTTCAGCCCCGTCCCCGTCATCACCCCTTCCCGTTTGCTGTTTGTATTGCATATGAATGAAATTGCAGCCAGAGACGCGTCTTCCAGCTGCAACAGAGATTCAGATGCAGCCTGAGAAGTTTTCACACAACGAACGTGTTTGCTCAAAAAACTTAACCAGCTACGCGTTGTTTTTGTTTGCTCAACTCGCTTTTCGATTGCCTCTGCCATATACATACATATATAAGTACATATAAATATAAATGTATGTGTATATGCATGCCTGATAGATACATTTTTTTGTGTCTAGCTTAAAGCCAACTAGAAGCATAACCATTTGCCAGCCGCACAACAGCATTGGGTTTGATTAAGGTCAGTTATGATGATTGTCGAAAAGTGAAATCTTCTCTTGCGTGTTGCTCTTCACAGTTACAGTGGGTGTTTTTCTTTTTCTTCTTCTATTGCTTCTAATTTTTTTCATGCGGATCTCGAGGCAGCCGAGCATAAAGCCGCGCTCTGCCTCAGGCACGTATTTAGATGAGTTGTGTTTTTTTTATTTTCCTAAATTAACCTATTCGAAATGTGTGTGTTGAAATGTTGAAAAGCCTGAAAATTCTTCAGGTTGGGATAAGAAATATATATATATAGATAAAAAGGCTCATAAGATATATATGATTGTATTATTTTGCAAAAATTATTTGCTCTTGATTTGTACTTTAAGTTAATCTTCGAGCATATCAGAGCAACTAGGCTGTTATTGTTTACCAAGTTTATTGAAGGAAATGATTTATTTTACAAAATACAGTCTGGCATTTGAAAGTCGTAAATAAGCCCTGGAAAGTTTATAAAGATCGAGTACCTAAGTTATTTCAGAGTACATATTGACACTAGCGAAGAGGCGGCACAGCTCGTGACGTGTTTGCTTGCGAGTGTTTTTATCGTTTACCTTTCTTTCTATAATGTCTTATTATATTTATAATATATATTAAATGTGTATATGGATGTATAGTATCTTTTAAATTGACTAAAGCTCAACAGCTTAACGCCTCATCAGCATTTCGGAATCGCTTAAACGTCATGTTAGTTATGACAACTTCTTCTTTTTTTGCTGCAAAATAATAAAATCGCTTGGCTTGGCGAAAGTAGAACTCAACATGCTGGCAAATCGTTCCGCAGCGGAAGTTGGGTGAGAAATCGCTGTGAGTGCTTTATGATCGGTTGCTTTTTTTTCTTTTTCTGTTTTTTGCTGCGCTCAGTCACAGGCCGCTTCTCTGGCGCTGTTGGCCTCCCACTCGCACCAGTGGGATCAGCGGTCGCGGCGGCACACACATGTTGCATGAATGAGATTGGAATTGGTTGCCGCGGCTGCCACTTGTACAATTTGTTGACTTTCACATTTAGCTGTACTTAAATATTTCTTTGTACGCAACAATTAGCCGCAGTTAATTGGCCAAAGTGCTTTTGCGCCACGCTTTCTGCACTCGAGCACAACTTGCCACTAATCTTCGAGATTTGAACAACTTCCGCGCCGCCGAGGAAGCAACTGTAAATTTTACAGAGCTACATCTTGTAATTAAAATATAAATAAAAATATAAATAAAAGCAGCAAGCAATTCGGACACTTTGCCTGCAAATGCTTCAAACAAATATTTGCCAACATAATTTCTAGATAGGCAAAATCACCTGGCGCCACTCGGGGACGGCGCTGGGGAGCAATTGGGCAGCAGGATGGATGCTCCTGCTGGAGGTGCTGCTATTGCTGCTTTTGACCTTTGTGCTTGTAATGCTGCGCCTAATTGCCCTTAATTTATTTAACTTCAAGCTGTGCGCCGGCAAGCCGACCAAGTCCGGCCCGGCGACCACGCGCAGTGTCAAGGGTTCACTTTGGAGCCGCCGCTGCGTGTCCTTTGGGTCGGTCATTGGGACGTGGCTGGCCGGTCGGTTGCCTCTCCCATCTCCATCTATACATACATATATATATATATCTCAGTCTCCTGGTTGCTGACTTTAACGACTGTCTGCTCCAAACAGACAGCACCCAGCACCTAGTCCGTGTTGCACCCTTGCTCTGGCCATTACAACTCGTGTCCCAGAAAGCAATTAATGTAAA